TATATCTATTTATATATATTTACCAAATGACACAAATAGCACCATAAAAATTCAAAAAATAATATAAAATACTTTTATATATGTATCTTAATTTAACCAAGAAGAAATAAAAAGAGTCACTGAACTGAAAATTCTTTTAAAAAATAAATATTACAAAATTATATTTTGCAAAGAAAAAGACACGTGAAATTATATTTAATTATTTTAAAATAGTGGGTCAGTGTTGAAAATGAGTAATTTTAATTAATTAAAATTATTTAAATGAAATTAACAAAATTATATTTTGCAAGAAAGAAAAAGGCACATGTAATTAATTGCACTTAATTGTTATTAATAGTGGGATTAGTTTTAAAATCAATAATTATAATTAATCAAAATTATTTCAAAATCGTAATTTTCTTTTAAAGATAAATATTTATTTACAATTAGTCTTTTAGGACTCCAAATTAATAAAATATAATATTATTAAATAATAAATAAGGTGAAAAAAAATAATTGAAAACAGGGTTGAATATATATCTATATATAAAATACGTGTCAGCATAAAAAAATCATATGTTTAATTAATTATAATAAAATTAGGATAAATAAATATAAATTATTTAAATTTTTTAATTAAAAAAATCCTACAGATTTTGATAAACACGATAAAAAAGAATTATTGGACACTTATTCATAATAAATCATTTAGGACCCTAAATTAATTACATATACATTATTTGAAAAACTGTTTTTGTTTTTAATTTCTCTAAAAAATATTTAAAACTTGAATCTGGTAAAAAAGATTCCTACAAATTTTGAAAAATATGGTAAAAATTGTTATGAAACTATATAAATTTAGAAGAAGAAGAAAGTAGGGAGAACAGAAAGATTTCTTATTCATCTTGAAGTATATTCAAGATTCTTTGATCTTTCATGAATCTTATTTACAATAAAGGAAAACCCTTATTTATAGGAAAAATCTTACTTGGTCCTCAAATAGGATTCCTAATCTTATTCTACAAGGACTCCACATAATTAGACATTCAATATAACACAAATTGTTTATAACACTCCCCTTGAATGTCGGTAGATTATGTGCCTCGTTAAAACCTTACTAGATAAAATACAGTAGGAAAAAAATCTAGTGAAGGAAAAAGAGTACACATATCTAATAATACGCATTATGGATGTCTCATTAAAAACCTTACAAGGAAAACTCAGTGGGACAAAATCTTGTGAGAAAAAAAGTGCATCGCGTATTAACTCCCCCTTATAAGAACATCAATTGAGAGACTAGAATCTTTGTTTTCCAAGCTTGTACACCATCTTCTTGAAAGTTATAGTTGGTAGAGACTTGATGAATAAATCAACAATAATATTAGTTGGTAGAGAATTGATGAATAAATCAACATTAATATCACTTGAAAAGACCTCTTGAATGTCGATATCACCATTCTTGGGAGCTTATGAGTGTAGAAAAACCTTGACAAAATATGCTTTCTTCTGTCTGCTTTTATAAATCTTCCTTCACGGTCAAAGATTTCTGCAAGTCTCTTACTTCAACTTCTTTAAGCAAATAATCTATTGCCAAGAGTTTCAATTCTAGTCATCAACTTGCATAATAATATTTGTATATGCTCTATGCATTTTGAATCTATTTAATCCTTACGAGGATGATAAATAAGTGTTCCAAAAACTTGTATATGTTTTAGATTTGAACCCATTGGATATTTTCATATCAATTTTGTCAAGTAACAACATTTAATATTAGATGTATGACATCTTCTAGTTCTCAGATTGCAAGTCAAATAAGCTTTATGCCTACCAAGATGCATCATTCCACTTTTCACTTGATAATTATTTCTACACAAGCATGCTTTAATAGATGTAGAATTCATATCTTCATAATCTTTTACAATATTGCGCGCGATTGTATCAAAGATATCGTCAACAATATACCACTTTGTATCGATTCACTATATGACAAAACTTATTGAGATCTCATCACTTCATTATTTTTAAGTAGCTACCCCTCTCATGAGGTTTCATAAAGTGTTATGTCGTACGCTCTCCAAGAGCACATTGTCTCTTTATTATGATTATTTTGATTCTTTGATCCTCTCTCTTTTATAAAGATTATTTTATTTAGAATTGATTAGTCTATCATGCTTCATGCATGTCGTAGACTCTATCTTTAAGGGACATTCAACATGAGTATTTACAACTTTTTTGTTGCTTCTAATCTCCCCCTTATGTTAGACAAACTAACATATATCTCAATCTTTTGGAGAATCTATCTTTATGCATCATTGTATATTCATTGATTATATACTACATATCAAAATAATCAGATGAAAATTATTTGGTCCCTGACCATAAATCAACAAAAAGAAAATCTGATCATAATTTGTTGGTTTGATGCATATAATTACTTTCGTATGCGGTATCATATTTCAGATCAACACATGAGCTTTATTTTCACAAGCAATGATTTCACTATCTCAGACATTTAATGTCACAACATCTTGAGTATTTATCAATATTGTCAAAATAAATTATCTTAATTACATATTCTGAAATTGTGCTCTTAACTCAATTATTTTTGCACAAACAATTTTGTGAATGTCAAACTACTGGTTGACAACAAACGCACATGTGATTATCTTATAGATGCATCTTTTTATCATGTCAAATGATAGGTGAACAGATTCATATTAACCTTTTATACTTTTCAGAATTTAGAGATTTAATCTCAACATTAGTTTGATCCAATCAACTTGTAATGAGAACAAACAACAAAAGAATTCTTGAAGAATCTTCTAGTTTTTCAATGTATGTTCATTACTCAGTATACATATCTTTGGGATGACCAAATTATTCATGGCAACTAATAAAATTATTAGTACTCGTAAACTCCAAGTTTACTACATCATGTGCCTTCTGCTTTAGTAAATTTCTAATATAGTATTATATGAGTAAATTTCAATTTTATTACTCCAAGAGTAATTTTCAGATTTATTTCTTCTCAATTACTTCACCCTTTAGTTGAGTCGTGATCCCATCATTGAATGAACTAATCCGAAGAAAATTGTGCATATAACATATTATTTGTGCCAACATTTTTGCAAACATCAAGTTGCGAGATAATAATAAGCACACATGAGACCATATATAAGAAATATTTATTAGGACGATTAAATATCTAAACAATTCACTAAGTGGATGACTAGGTCCACAAATATTTGTATACATTCCTCAGAATGCAAAGAATTCAATCTCAACTTTCGTTTATGATGGTCTCACAATTAACCTGCCTTGTTAACAAGCAAATACAAGAAAATTCATGTCTAGCATGGTGGTTTATCATCTCATTAACTCTAAAGAATGGATCTGTATTTTTACCATTTATCAAAGTCTCCCATTCTTCATGAATGGAACACAATCATCTAAGTACATCAAATTTTGATAACTTAGTACCTAATTCCATATTTATGTGCATCATTTAATCAATTGTCTTTTTTTAGACATTTATGCACTGCTAAATTCACTTTGGGAAATGGATCTACTTCTACGAGATATATTTCATGAGTAATTTTATCAAAAACTCATTATTTTCCTTTAGTCATCATAATATCATCAATATGGTGCATTGAGACTCAAACCCAACGTTTTATGCCATAAATCAATGAGGGACTTGAATCCAACATCTTTCATCACAAAGCATCAAGACTTCTGAAGTCTTACCCTCTTGGTGCGATTGGAAGTAAATCCATCGATCTTATTCTTTTGGTGCAATATAACTTAAAATCATTGTCTTACCCACAATGAGGATCAACCTCAAGCCTTTGAAAATAATTACAATTTTATCACTCCTTGAAGATATAAAGACCTTATTGCATAACTTATGCAAGATCTCTTTTGCACTTTTCCCGTCTTCTTAAATAATTCTTTAAGAATAGAACAATCGTGCTGATAATGTGTTATGGAACTATATAAATTTAGAAGAAGAAGAAAGTAGGGAGAACAGAAAGATTATTTGCTATTTCACAAATCTTATTTACAATGAAGGAAAACTCATTATTTATAGGAAAACCTTACTTGGTCCTCAAGTAGGATTCCTAACCATATTCTACAAGTACTCCAAATAATTAGACATTCACTATAATACAAATTGTTTATAACAAAAATAAAGTTTTGAACACTTTTTTTTACATAATAAGTCGTTTAAGACTCTAAATTAAATACATATAATATTATTATTAAATAATAAATAAAATCAGTTTTAAAGGAAAAGAAAAACAATGTGGATGTGGTAGATTCCCACATATTGTGGAAAGCATAGTAAAAAATAACAAATTTGGAATTTTTTTAAAAAAGAATAAGCCGTTCTGAACTTTAAATTAATAAAATATAACGATATTAAAAAAATAAATCTATTCTATTCTAATAATAGTAATAATTCTATATACAATAGGACTTAGGAGCAGTAAAACAGTGTACACCACAAAAAAGCATTATTTTAAATTTAAAAACAAAATTATAAAATTATATTTGACAACACACAAAGACACGTGTGATTAATTATTTTAAATTTAGTTGGATCAAATTTATGTTAAAGTTGTTATTTTTTAACTTTGAGTTACGGAAAAGGCAATAACGATTCCTAAAATATAGATAACTTAGTTAAATTTTTTTAACTATTTAACACATACAACAATAAAAACAATGGTAATTGACCGAAAAATAAATGAAATACCAATTGACAAAAAATAAAAAATATAAAAAACGTAGATATAAATAATTAATTAAATTATTTTATTACATTAATATACATGTCATAATATCGATATATCATATATGAAAAGATTCAATTTAAGAAATATAACAAAACATTATTTTAAAAAATTGTGTACAATCAAAATTAGTTCACATAATTTGCTTATGCATAATTTATATATTTTAATCTTTTTAATTATTTTAAAAAAAGATATCTTTATATATAGTCTATAAATCATTAATGAAAAAAAATAGTTTCGAATAAAATAGTTTCATAACTTTGTATTATTCATTGACTATTAAGCCGTCCTAAGTAGGCCTAGACATAATATGGTTCACACCGAAAAATCGATCGAATCGAATTATTTTTAATTTTTGTTTCGATTTTTCGATTATTTCGGTCGGTTATTTGTTATTACCCCATAACCCATTCCTAAATTCTAATCCTCCCAAGCCCAACTACACTGAGCCCAAAACCAACTATTCAAATTCCTAAATCCTAACCCAAATACCCATAACCCAGTTACCCAATACCCAAGCTCCAAGCCAATTTCCCTAAATTGATGAAATCCCTAAATTAACACTGAAAGTGAAACCTTTTTCTTTGAAAGTGAAACCTTCTTTGAAACACCAAACACGTCCACTGCCAGTCTGCCACTATCGCTGACCGTCAACCGTCGTCCGCTACCAGTCACGCCGCCAGCGGCCACTCCGCTAGCCGCCACGCTATCAGCCTATCACGCAGTGACGCTGACGCAGATACGCAGGCCAACTGCCGCAGCATCCAGCAGCACTCGCCAGTCGCCAGTCGGTCGCCGCCCTCCGGCTCGCTACAACCACCACTCTCACTCATCTCTCAAATCTCATCTCTCGTTTTTGTCACTCGTAAGTTTCTTATGCCTTTTGCCATTTTCTTATGCCTTTTGCCCTTTTCAGTATTCTGCACATGTAAGTTTACTTCATATACTATTTGTCTATTACTTATGCCTTTTGCCCTTTTCTGCACATGTAAGTTTAAGAGAAGGCTAGCTAGATTCAGTAGCACTATTAGGCAAAAAGAAGTAATGTATCAAGATGCCCAAATCCTGATCCTTGTAACTTTGTTGATTATTGTTTTTGTTGTTTGTTTCACTTTTGTATAGATGGCACAAACTGAAAGTAAGGGAAGTGAAAGTGGAGCTTCAAATGAGAGTATACCTTACACCTCATCTCCTAGTGAGGTTGAAGTTGATGTTGATACTTCAAAGAAAAGAAAACCATGGAACCTAGATCTAATTGTTGGAAGCATTTTGAAAAGTTCATCGATGAAAATGGAGCTAGTAAAGCCAAATGCAAGTATTGTGCGAATCTTATGCAGCTTCTACATCATCTAATGGTACGTCATCAATGAATACTCATATGAGAACATGTCCTAAATTTCCTCGTGACACCGTAGATAAAGGTCAAAATCTAATTAATTTTCTACCATCTTCAACGGGAGCAAAGGAAGGGGTCATTAGCACTTGGAAATTTGACCAAGCACAAAGTAGGAAAGCTTTAGCCAAAATGATAGTTGTTGACGAGCTACCTTTAGTTTTGTTGAGAAAGAGGGTTTTAAAAACTTCATGAGAGTTACAATGCCGCAATTTCATATTCCTTCTCATAGAACTGTGACAAGAGATTGTTTTGAACTATACCTTGAAGAAAAAAAACTTTTGAAGAAGGTTTTCAAAGAAGCACGTCCAAGAGTTTGTCTTACAACAGATACTTAGACCTCTATACATAAAATAAACTACATGTGTTTGACAGCCCACTTTATAGATAGAAATTGAATTTTGCATAAAATAATAATAAATTTTTGTCCTATTTTTAGTCATAAGGGCGTGGATATGGAGGCTTGCATTACTAATTGTTTGCTTGAATGGGGTTTGGATAATGTGTTTACTATTACAATTGATAATGCTAGTTCTAATGATGTTACTGTGAAAGAAATGTCTAAAAAATTGAGCAATTAGGGAACTAACATTATGGATGGTGACCATCTTCATGTGAGGTGTATGGCACATATCTTTAATCTTATTGTGCAAGACGGGTTGAAGGAAATTGGTAAGTCTGTCAAGCTAGTGAGACAAGACGTGAAATACATTAAACAATCTCCCGCAAGACTTGGAAAGTTTAAAGAATGTTGTGAATCTGAATTGATAACTTGTAAAAAATTATTATGTTTCGATGTTCCTACTAGGTGGAACTCTACATACTCGACGCTTGATATAACACAACATTTTAAGCTTGCATTTAAAAGATATAGTTTTTATGATATTGGATACTTGAATCATCTTCGTACCTTTGGTTCTGATTCTTCTGAAAACAAAGATGGAACTAGTGTTAAAGATGGAACTACTGCAAATATTCTTTCAAGTGTTGACTGGAAAAATGTGAGGTCAATGGTGAAATTTCTTGAAACTTTTTATGTACTTACTTAGAAGGTTTCTGGTTCTAATTATGTCACTAACTATACACACTTTGTTGAAATTGCTGAACTTAATCTTATTTTGAAAGAGATGATGACAAATGAAGATTGTAATTTGAAAGAAATGGCGGAAAGTATGAATGAGAAGTTCAAAAAGTATTGGGATTACAAAAAATGAACAAGATGATCTTTATTTCATCTGTATTGGATCCCCGTAACAAGCTTGATTATGTTTCATTTGCAATTGTGGATATGTTTGGAAAAGAAGTTGGGGAAAAGCTATGTTTAGAAGTGAAAAAATACATGAACAAACTGTTTGAGTATTATGTCAAGAAATCCCCAAAAAGCTCTTTACATGTACCATCTTCACCTACTTCATCTGACAATTCATCAAGTATATCTAGTGTGAGTGGTTGTGGCAACTTTGTAAATAGAGAAAGATTGAGAACGAAACAACAATTTGAGAAGCATAAAGAAGTTAGTGGAAGTTCAGGTAATAAATCAGAATTGGAAAAATATCTTGCGAAAGATATTGAGCCAGATAGTGATGACTTTGATATATTAATGTGCTGGAAAGTTAATAAGCCAAGATTTTCTATTCTCGCGGAGATGGTTCTTAATGTGTTTCCCATTTTAAGTGTCGCATCAGAATGTGCATTCAGCACAGGAGGTCGTGTTCTTGATCCCTTTAGGAGTTCATTAACACCTAAAATTGTGCAATCTCTTATTTGTGTTCAAGATTGACTTAGAAGTGAGTCTTTTCCAATCAATATTGAGGAAGATTTAGAGTATCTTGAACAACTTGAACTTGATAAGAATTTGATATTTGTATTAACTATATTGAAAAAAAATTTGTCACTTGTGTTTCATAACAACTAACAAATTCTTTCATATTTTTTTAAATTTTGTTTGTAGAGGGACTGAATCTAGTATAATTGATATATAGTTGCAGCTTGTAAGTTCAACTATCAACTAGTGATGTGCGGTAACGAGTAAGTAAAGAACTTTTTTTACATAACTTGCTTGATAGTTTTAAATATTCTATTATGAAATGTAGATCATTTGTCTGAACACTCCTATTTTCCCGCAGGTCCAACAATGTTTTGTTATTTTCTTGGTTGCTATCTGCTAGAACTTGGGAGCTATTGCAATGGCGGTTGCAAGTTGCAACGATGTTTTGTTGGTTTTCTAAATCTCTTTGTTGCTGAAAGTTGCAATGAGCCAGATAATGATGACTTTCGTTTGTAACTAACTCTATTTTAGTGATGGACACAAGTTTGTTGAACTTTCTAGTGTTGTTGTGATGTTTTCTTGACTTTTGATAGTTTTTTTTATTATTACTGATTGAGTCGATATTTAGTTATCACGATGACCATTTTACCATTTTTTGTATTAAATTTGATTAAATCAAAATCGAACTGAAATAAACCGAATTGAATTTATAATAATCGAACCAAATCGAATTTATTTTGATTTTGTTTGATTTCATATTTGGCCAAACCGAAAACCGAAAAATCGAATCGATATTTACGAACTGAACTGAACCGACCGAACGCCCAAGCCTAGTCCTAAGTCACTAAAAATTGTGTTGATAATCTTTTATTTTATTTGTATTTATCTTAAAATAAATAAATAAAAAATAATAAAATAAATAATTACAATTATTATCTAAATTCTAATTTTGTACGACCATATTAAATAACAACTTAAAAATACAATTTAAAACAATTACTTTTATATCATTATTTAAAAACAACCTGTTTCACCTTTTCACCAAAAATGTGATTGACAGTTTATTAACTACCACAATAATTCAAAAAAAATTAAATTTTAAAATGAAACTGTAAATAGAAAAAAAAGTATAAATTATAGGAACCACATATTATAAATACAAAATAACCTTTTATCCCTTTTAGAATTGAAATTACTAAAAATTCCTTAAAATTCAAGGAAGCGGGATACATCCAAATGGCACGGGATACATAAGTCCTGATACATCATATTTGACATCTGCTGCGATTAATTAGGATAATTACCGTAATTTCTGTTATTATTAACTGAAATCACGCAATTCATGCTCTACAATTTGCGTAACTGATTAGTAAATTTAAATTTTAAATTAGATTAGCTTCATAAATCAAAATTATTCTTGTAAAAGTTGATCTTCATTCTAAGAAATAAAAAAAAGGTTTGAAGATGAATATCTCAATTCTGCTGCGGCATTCTGGAATTTGGGTAAGCGATGTTAATTATGAAGGTTACAAAGTTGATGGAATTGTTGTTAGCCATTCCATTTCATTTGTGAACTGAAAACGTTGATTTTATCAGAACTTGAGATTGACACTGTTACAAAGGATATTGAAATACGATAAATTGTCGAGGGAAGCTCATGTCCATTAAAAATCAAGAACGACATGGGTGTGAAACCTTATTTCGAAGTAAAAAAGAATGCATATGGAATTAACATGTATCTGCTTTGTATTGATACAACTGAAAAATTGTTGGGGAGATATGTAATTTTGATTGGTCATCAGGTGAAGTCGTATGTGTGGAAGGTACCGAAAGAGATACTGAAGTTCTTGCTCTGATCGAGTCGAGAATTTGTGACATTGATTATATTCCAGAATTAAATGCTACGAATTACATAACTGATTCCAATAGTACTGAAGTGAAGACTGGGCATTTGTATAAGGACAAAGGAACACTCGTTGCTGTAATGACTAAATATAAAATAAAGAACAACTTCAATTTTCGAGTGAAAAGATTGGATAAGAAAAGGTATTTGAATGCTTACTCTATGATCTGATTGTTTTCTCTATTACATTTTTATTTATATTGTATCTTATACATAATTATAAGCAGTTTATATCTTGTTGTAATATTTATAGCATTGCTTTTCTTATATAAATTAAATCAACAAAAAATTTTGGACAGCTATGTGTTGGTTTGCTTCAGCGACCAATGTGGATGGACCGTAAAATCATCTTGTAGAAAAAAATCTGATGTATTCAAAGTGAGATATTTCAATAGTGAACATACATGTCTGATGCGGGATAGGATACTAACAAAAGTACAAGCAATAATTGGATTTATTAGTGGTGTGACTGCCCCTAAATTGGTAAATCATAAAAGAATTCATACACCTCGAGATGTAATTGAAGATATTAGAGAATTGTATGGGGTTGAGATATCGTACCAACAAGCATGACGTGCTAGAGAACGTGCACTAGAAATGCTCAAGGGTAAGCCATCATGAGGATATAAACAGATGCCGAGATACATATGGATGCTAAATAAAGTGTATCCAAATTCATATATAAGGATGCAAAAGACGGAAGATAATAAATTCATGTATCTGTTCATAGCCCTAACACCGCTGATAAGAGGGTTCGACTACTGCAGGCCTGTAAATGTAGTGGACGCTGCACATCTTGGCGGGGCATACAAGGGTACTTTTGTATCAGCAAGCACACTCGATGGTGCAGGTATGAGTGTTATAATTCTGATGTAATGTAAAACTTATTTTATATTTATATTAATATATATTAGTGTAAACATTGTGTATCATGAAGTTAAATGTGAGCTTCTTTATAATTAGGATGCATATTGCCATTGGCATATGGTGTTGTAGACACTGAAAATGACTGTTCGTGGACATGGTTCTTCGAACATTTCAAAAATGCATTTGGTGAGCGTGAAAACATGTGTATTGTATCAGATAGAAATGAATGTATCATAAAGAGTGTAAGCATTGTGTACCCAAATGTACCTCATTGTGCATGCATATGGCATTTTTGGAAGAATGTATGTTCAAGCTTCAAAAGGAGTAAAAACACACTAAGTGATATATTTTACTCAATGACAAAAGCATACAGAAAGGAAAATTTTGATAAATTAATGGCTAAGGTTGTGACAGTTGATCATAGGGTGAAGGATTACCTTGAAGGAGCTGGTTATGAGAAGTGGTCAAGAGTTCATTCAACCATAACAGAGGTAGAATGATGACTTCGAACATCGCTGAGTGTATCAATGGATGCCTTGTCGATGCACGTAAGTTAACTATAATAGACTTCTTGGAGGAAGCTAGACTTCTATTTGGTAGTTGGAATTATAAAAATAGAGAAATAGCGTCATATACAAAGGACACATTGGGCCGAAGATTTGAGGAGATATTAATTGTAAACGCATCTAAAAGTTCAAAGATGAAGATATTTATCCATTTCACTAAATTTCTGTTTTATGTATCAGATACAAACTGATTTTCAATGGTAAGTGTTGTTTTGAAAATGATATATAAATTGTATATTACGTAATGTATCGCTAACTTCTTAAATTTTTAGGTTGTTCCATCATCTGAATATATTTTCACAGTTCATGAAGCCGAAAAAAGATACATTGTATGCCTTGAGAGGAAAACTTGCACATGTGGAAGGTTTCAACATGATGAGATACCTTGCGCACACGCAATTGCAGTTTTGAAGCACAAGAATATTACCAATTTGCACTCTCATTGCTCTGATTACTACAAGCCGTATGCATTAGAAAAAACGTACAAGGTTGTAATGGTTCCAATGCCAGATAAGGAGGATTGGAACGTTCCAGAATATGTTTTAGATGAAATTGTCCGGCCACCTAGGTATAGAAGGTTGGCTGGACGACCAAGAAAGCAAAGAAATAAAAATGCGGATGAGAAAATAACAGTGAACAATAATTCTTGTGGGCAGTGTGGACAAGAAGGACATAACAGGAGAACTTGTACTTTCTTCCCGAAAGAGAATTGAAAGAATGTTTTAAAGTAGGACATTAGTGTTCATGGTACTTATATCCATTTTTTTCTTTAGAATTTGGACTAAATAAAGTGTATTGGTTACACAACTTAATTTGATTTTCAAATATATGACTTTGCAGTTTAATTTTGTGCCAAAATTAAACTCCAAATTTTATAAATAAATAGATTCAATAGTATTGCGTTTCAATGTAACAGTAATTCTATAAGAGTTTGTTTGTGTATGTGATGTATCATATGCATGCATATTATTGAAAAGATGTTATATGTTCCGTGTATATTGCCTTTTGAGTTATTCAAGTGTACAAAAAAATTGACTTGTTCAATTGTTTACTATATGATTCGTGTATACAGCGTTATGAGTTATAAATTTGATATATTATATTCAACAATGTTGGGTTTCAATGTAACATTAATTCAAGATGAGTTTGTTTATGTATATTATGTATCATATACATTCATATGATTGAAAATATGTTATATGTTTCGTGTATACTGCCTTATGAGTTATTCTAGTGTCCCAAAATTTGACTTGAGCAAATGTTTACTACATGTTTCGTGTGTACTGCCTTATGAACTATAATTTTGATATATTATATTCAACAGTGGTGCTTTGCACTGTAATATTAATATGTGATTAGTTTGTTTATGTATATGATGTATCATATACATTCGTATAATTCAAGTTGCTAATATATAACTGCAATATTTGTACATGTATATATTATAACTTATGTATCATAAACATCATTTTTATAAGTGAAAATCTTAAAACTCAAACAATAATATATCATACACATTAGAACTTAAATGTCACATACTTCATTTTGTAAATTAATTGTCAAAATTACTTAAACTGAAACAATAAAATTTTTGTACCTTAACGTTATAAAGCAACAACTGTGTCTAAAACGATAACTTGAAAACACATAACATTAATAACTAACAAACTATTGTAATACCAATAAGCTTTTAGAAAAACACAAAAGATAATTGTCTTCAACACAAAACAACATAAAAACTTGTTCATCCTGTCCCTGCTAATTACTAATCTATGTTAACAATGTCATCTTCAGTTGGTGTTGTGAATTGACCCTTAGGCTTTGGTGGATCGTCATTATCACTTATGTATCCACCATTGACCTTGTCGCTGCCATATCTCCATAACAATGCTGCATATCTATTGCGTAGGTAATTTGCAAGATGTCCATCAGTATCAGGTGGTATAACAAGTTGGTCACACAAAAACTCTACAAATGTAGCTACGTATAACCCGCAGTCCCTACAACAAAATACATAATGTAAATTTGTAAAATAGCTTACACATATATTGTAGACCAGAAATTAAAATACTTACGGACTATCGTCTTCTTGTTGCATGATACCTTCAGTGTATTCAATGTTAAAAAGAATATGTGACTCTAAAGGTACACCCGTTTGTTTGTCCTTGTATGCATCAAGAACTGACCAGTTTGTCCGCTCATTATTTTTGAAGAAACCACTGTCAATGAGGTAAAAAGGTAGCATCCTTGACAATTTTTTATCTCTTCAGAATATACACGTTTTCTTGTGCCCAAAGAAGAGTCATACACGCGTATCAACCTCTTATTCAATTCAACCACAGCTAATACCCAATAAAAATTTCCATCATAATTGATTGGAATATAAACATCGTCTACCAGATGCCATGGTAATCCAGCTGGTATTGAAAAACCTTTCATGACGTTGATTATTGACCTCTCATGTACTAATACAACTCTTGCACGATCAAGGTGTTCTTGGGTACTAATATCATCATCAGCCTCATTGTTATAATACCTATCATGGGTATTGTTGATATGTGCGCTGAACAAACAATTTACTGTTGTGTATCTGTATTGATCCATGCTTCGAAGTTTTGATTTTTTACGAAGGTAGTAAAAAATAACATCGATGTGCTGCAAATAAAATATAAAAATAAGTTACATTTGAAAAACATTTAATTAAAAAAAATACTATTTACTGAAAGTGATATATGATTTTGATATGTATAAATAACATACGAACACAATGTATCATATACATTATTATAAAAGCATTTATTTATAAAATTACCTGATCAGTCCAACAGTTTTAGACTGAGACATGGCATAAAACCAATCCTTATTTGTCGGAAAAGCAACGACATAATCCATCATTTCAAAACCCAATGAAGATGCTTTTGATTTGTATTTATCTTCTGATGGTTTCCTATATCATTAAGCATAATGAAAAGATGTTATTCAAAATTGTAACAATAGCTGCAATTTGAAAATTTAGCAGATTCAGTACAATTATATAAAAATTACTTTTTTGAATGAGCTTTAAGAAGCCCTGTAGTAACCCACTCAATAAACTCATCAATCAGGTATGAAGGGGCTTGGTTTGTGATCTCACATCCTTAAAATGGAAAATTTGGATGAATTACATCAGTCATGACCGCTTTTCCTTTTTCACTTGACCCAAATGAAGTTAAATAAGGGGATATGCAATTTCTCTAAGGCATCCGGATACGTGCATGAGGAGTATTTATTTCGCTTCGGACAACAATATCTGTGATTGGAATATCAATTGGTAATTGACTGTCCGAAAGCAAACTTTGATTTTCGGTAAACTCCTGTTAATTTGCATGAATACGTAGACTTCCAAGATCAGCAATAAGTGTATTCATGGATTCTCGTGTATCCGGATATATTGGACCAGATGGTGTAGAATCATATATGGTTTACACTGATAATGAATAATATATTGATAGACATATGATATTGATATGATACATGAAGATTAAATTACTGATGTATCTTCGTTCATTGTTCCTTCAAATAAATGATGAGGCGTTTGTGCTGATGGAGCATCCTGAATAAAAAATGTACTGATCAATTTATGATACCTTAAGCATCAAATAATTATACACAAAATGATTGTTAATGTATCAAGGACAGATAACAGCAAACTACGAATTGTATATATGAGACAAACAAATTTAACTAGTCACATAGATATGTATCTTGCAATGGAATGTATCACGTACACACTAAATAAAAATGTATAGTATAATACACAGTAACTTGGAAAATACATATATGAACAGTTAAATACATGTATCATATTAATCCAATTAAATTGCAATGTATCATAATGATCAAATAAAACAGCAATGTATCATAATAATATAATTAAAATTAAACGTATCATACTTGCACATTTTCATGTATCATTTAAAATTTGGATGAATAATAATAGTGACATTAATCTGCTATAATTACCTTGTTGTGTTCACATGTTTCATCAGTATGATGACTATTTGAATTTGGGAATTGAAGTTCTGAAACGTCCTTCATTACTTGATGATTCTTCAATGTATCTTCAGTCTTTATTTTGTAAAGAAAATTAAGTTAATGAAAAATTATATAATTTTATATACAAATTTAATAAAGTAAATTAAACCTGATTGTCAACATCAAGTTCCATTTGTATCGGAGAGGTTGCTTGGTGTCCATCATTGCCTTCTTCATCGAAACTTCAACCATGTGCGGTGTAGACTTGCCGCCCATATCCTTCATTAAATGAATTTGTAACATAATGGCCTATGAAATTTATAACACACAACGAAAATACACGTACACAATACATTACCTTTGATTGTTGGTCATCCTCCCTATTCTTAGAATTCATCACCTCAATGTGATTAGCCTTTATCAAAATCACAAGATACTCAAATTTACTGTCAACCTATTCAAAAAAAATTACACATTCAGTTTATATTTATGAATTAAAATTAAAAAATAAATATTGTTACTTACGTATTCCTTCATATGTTGTTTCAGTTCTTCAATATCAGGATATACATACTTATATTTTAAGACTTGTGAAGATACATGGGTAGAAGATACATTAGCAGGCGGGGTATGTTCTTCAGCTGGCATTGAGAATGACTGATATAATTGCGGCTTTAACTGATTTGAAAAAGTTTTCGAACCCTTTGTTTTATGTGTATCAGTATTCTTTCTCCTTTTGGGTGGTGGTGGAGATGATGTATCAGATACATGAGATGATCTTCTCAACAAATCATTAGATGGCTTGTTGAAAAATCCTCAAAACCTGACTTATCTTTAGTATGCACTTTTTTTGCACCAACAGGTGGCGTGGATAGTTCATTTCTGTTGACCTCTTGACTATCAGGTAAATCAAGGGCTTCCACCTCATCTTGCGTTGGTGCAATGTTTGAACAAGTATTCTACAATTAAAATGTTTTAATGTTATAACAATGTTCTGTATGACAAAAAAATTATTATTTACAACAAAAATTATAAAGCTTATTGATACAATATTAAAAGTTAATTTAAAATTAATGTTATCTCGGAGAAAATGATAGTCATTAACTATTCATATTTTGGCTTTTCAGCCACCACTGTCCAATTACATATCCTCGGAATATCATTCGCCACTTTAAAAGCAAGGTCTGGACTTAGAGTAGATGCACATTCGTAAATCCAAACGTTGAGTGCATAAGGCATACCAAATAAGCGATACATCTGTTTACTTTGGTTGAAGTCTTGCCTGAGTGATGTAATCAGCTTATTAAATGCAATCTGACCCAAGGATACATTTCATACCTACCATCTTCGACCATTAGAAATTCTTCTATATACGTATGAAGGTCTCACCAAGATGGAATAACAAGAAAGTATTGATGAAGTATAGTATTGCCATTTCCACAGATTCCTGTGTGGTCTCCCAATTATCCATTGCAAAACGCTGTATCAATCGACTCTTGGTTATACCCGTGGGACAATCAGGGACATATTTTTGTAATAACCGGCTCGGAGTGGAATTAGGATATGAAAAATCCTTAACATTTCCTTTGCATTTTAGGCCATTTACAATGGCAAATTCCTTCATACCAAACACCAATACATTCCCATTAGTATGACGAAGATGCACTACATCTTTATTTTCATGTCGCACCTCCAACAA